CATCGAACTGTTAGCATTTGGTGTTAATTTTTGTGATCAGTTAACGATTCCAGACCGACAGTTTTATAAACCTCAAAAGAATAGGCAAACTCACGTCCGAGAAGTTCCCTTAAACGTAATAACATTCGTTCTTCACGTTTCAAGTTGTCAAGCCGCCGTTCCAACTCGCGTATTTTTGACATTTTGATGAGCAATTTGAATGACTAGAATAATACAGTGGGGGAAAAAAGTGAAATTAAGCACAACACCTGAAAATATTGAGTGAATATGAATAAAATTATCCTGTATTGTAGTCACTTGAGGGACGGTTTTGGGCAACAATAGCAGGTAATTCTGATGTTTTCATGAGTGCATTACATTGAATAAATTTTCGAAAACGTGAATTAAGGAAGTTTTATTAATTACTGTTAATACACCACTACATACCTATATACATAATGGACAATGAAGCGATAAAACATGAAAGTCATTTCATGGTACATGAATTTTTCACTGAGAGACATTAATGACTTCAAGATATGATCAAAGTCATATCCAAAACCGCCATTTTTTCGCCGAAATGATATCATCCCGAAACTCGTTTCAGTACTTCCAAATTAGGGCGCCAACCCCCCTCTTCTCATTGTAAGAGGCATCTTTATGGACAATCATGGGAATTTCCCTAGTTCCTTATGGTTATGAACCTGAACAAATGAGCGAGGAATACGCCATTCTATAGCTCTTCCTATTCCAGTAGCAGGCTGAATTCTATTCGTAAACAAGTTCAATACTACTTCAGTACACAATCGTAAATGGATAATTAAATTATGCATATCTTGCATCGCTCATTATAACCTAAAAACACAATCACAACAGATTAACATCTATCAAATAATAACATTCATAAAATACTGAACATGAAATATTATCACACAATTATCAATGATACTAAACAACAATAATAGTGACAGTAATAATATTAATACTAATAACAACAATAATAATAATAATACTGATGCAATAAAAAGACTGATGATATCATTATGAATTATAATACAAAAGACGATCGCATTAATAAAGATGACGTGCATACGATGCTTGCTTTGGAATAATTATTAACAATAGTGAATACAACAAATTGAAAGCAATAACGTATACGACACGACTAAAATAATACTGATTAATGCTTGTTAATGAAATGCTATGAACATGATATCAATACTTGATTAGAGTACAGGTCTGCTCACTGCATGCGCATGAAGATTTGGGCTTATGGCAACTACGAGATTTTTTTTCTAGTTTTCCTCGATTCATTTTGAACCCAGTAGTTTTCTGAAACCCCAAGATATCGCCTTGTCCTACTTTTTAAAATGAAAATTTGAAACGGATGAAATCTTACCGTCGTTTGTTCTGTTTCCTTTCAGATACGTTTTCAATTCGATTTCCGTTCGGTCTATTGTTTTTATGTACTACATTGACTATGACATCATCAAATGATGTGATTGTTCGCTTTTTGTGAATAGATTATAGTTTAACTAGCAGGAATGATAAATTGAGACTACTTTTGAATATCGCATCGAATCAACTCAAATTCGACAGCTATCGTTTGTTGAACATCGGCGCGGGACTGTGCTGATTAGCACGACGTCGCTGTCTCTCGAAACGTCTCTCCATTTCATCGAGCAGTTTCGGTGTATATCTCACAACCAATTTAACACTTCCTCTCGCTGACTTCAACAACTCAACTGCTTTCTCGTGACATTCACATTCCACATTCACACCATTCACCTGCAATAATAATCCACTGATAACCTCAGTTAATGGAATCATCACTGAGACACAACAACCAAAACCGAACCGCAATCAACTGATCGCCACGTTTCAGCTGTCCATTGCGATCGGCCACTCCTCCGGGAATAATCCGCGAGATGTAAATCGGTGAATTTTGTTCTTTTCCGCCCATCACATTAAAACCTAAGCCTTGATCTGTTTTCGGTAGTTCAACTATTCTCGGATGAGCATGACCTTCGGCTGCGGCAAATGCTGCAACTGTAGCTTTTGCAGTGGCGCTGGCTCGAACCTTAAAGTTTGTTTTTGTTAAGTAGGGAATTGTTTGATGGAAAGGCTTGGAAAAGCAAGGTGGAAGTAAACTGCACATGAGATATCAGAAGAGAAATTTCGATGGCTAATATTATTATTATGACATCGTCGGCCACTTTTACTGCATGGATCTAATGGCCGTTCGTGCTATTATTCTCAAATTTGCAAATACGGTCATTTCGAGTTTGGGTTCAGATCCTTCAATGACAGTTTGAGGGCCAGACTGCACAAGTAAAGCTCCAGGCTCTTATTGGAGCCATATATTGAGCAAGCACTGACCTCTCGTGATCCTTCCACACTCACCGTATCGTAAACATGCTCGAACACCTCACGCACAGAATTGAAAAAATCAGATTGTAATATTTTTTGCACGGCTGCCAATTTGGGATTGGTTATTTCGCCAGTTTTTTGGACATGCTCTATGAGTTCGATTATGCGTTGAACATCTGAATATGGATAAGTGATAAGATTATCGTTCTTATTCTGAACGGAACGGCACTAATGACAACCAAATCAACAACGAAATTGTAACAAGTAATTTTAAAAAATCGCAAAATAAAGCAAAAACTCTCATCACC